AAAAAAAATTCATTTTCTATTTATTCTAGTACAAAATGGTTGTGTCTTTTAAGATACCACGGTCATTTAAGGGTTAATAGTATAATAGTTTAATAAAAAAAGTCCATTGTCTGAATGATGATGAATAAAAGTATTAAAGACTATAAAAAACGTTAAAATAGTTTTGGCCGCCTAGATTATCAAAATACCGGTATGTGCAGCGCTCAGCAAAAATAACTAACCACATATCGAAGAAAATTATCGCTGAGCAGTCTACTCGTTAATTTATCACAGTGTGGGCGCCTGTCACATGTAGTGATGTGCTGAATTGTCGGTACCCAATACTTTAAAAAAAATTCGGTACCCAATGCTTTCTTTTCGGTACCCGATACCGATTCGATACATTAAACCCTCGTCATAATATATACAGTTGATTAAGTTTAGTGACATTTTGACGACCAGTTTTTTTTTATTTAAGTTTATATTTTTTTTATAAAAGTCAATAACCAGCACCACATTAATCCACATTTCAAAGTTCTTACAAAAATTATAAAAGTTCAACAAACTTTAACAATTAAATAAATATTTAAACATTTTATTAAAATTTTTTAGAAAAATTTTAGGTATACAGTTTTATAGCCCATTAAATTTTAATGCGTTAAACTGCAAATTGTAAATCGCTAGAGAATCGATTTGATTTTTCATAAATTTTTTTGCTGACGGTGCTATGCATTTTCCTCCATATAAAAGTAATTGGCGAGCATACTTTATATGGGAGAAAATACTCAACACTGGCAGCAAAAAAAAAATTGTAAAAATCAATGAGATTTCTAACTTCTTGAAATTTGCACTTTAACATACTAAAATTTAATGGGCTATAAAACTGCATACAAATTTTAAAGTTTTTGGGTGTAATTGCTAAAAAGTTTTTTTTCAGTTTTTACGAAGTTTGAAATGTGGATTTATGTGGTGCTGGTTGTGTAATGCTAAACGTTTATAAAAAATTATAAACAATTAATAGAAAACAGAAAAATAGCCAAAACTGGTCAAAATGTCACGTATTTTAATCAGCTGACCACAAGACTATACTTTTGAAGTTTGCAGAAAAAAAATTTTTGTTATTTTAGGTTCATTCCATATCTTTTTGGACTAAAATCTGAAAAGTGTCAAAATGTCAGAGCGTAATCAAAATGCGCTCACTAAAAGAGAATAACAGGAAAAGTAAAGGAACGCAAAAAACCAAATTTTTAGTCCAAAGAATGGCAACAACAAAGTTAACGTCAAATAAGAATGTAAATGTATGTACAAAACACCTTCGCACAAGCACAAGGACAATAAACACTTTCAATATCAATTATTTTTTGCCTCCTTCCAATTTCAATTCACTTTTTTACTTTTTAGATTATTCTCACTTTTTGCGTATTCTTTAATTTCCGTTAATTTACTTTCAGTCGAGTTTGAAACTTTTCAGGATTTTGCCAGAAAAAATTCTTCTGACTAAATCTGACTACTTCGGACTGATGAGAGTCACTCTCACCGAGTGTTGCTCTCTCATTTTTGCTGTCATTTCCGAGTTAAGGAACGCTTTTTGGACTAAATCTGACTACTTCGGACTTTTTCTGACTATTTCTGGGAGATAAGCAACGCTCCTTTTATATGACATCGCCTGAAATAAAAAAGGTACAAATAAGACGATACTCCCTCAAAAGATGAGCAGTCAGTATTTGAGCCTCCTTGTACTTATCGCCAGTTTTCCCAACTGGAACAATTCTTGTGGCAACATTTTTAATTCGTAATATTTAAGGCAACTCTCTATTAAACGAATATTTATTACGATTTGTATTATTGTTGCCACAGGAGCAGATATTAATCCAGCGACGACAACGTTCAGATCCAAACAATGTGGAGAAATAGACTTCTTAAACCATAGATTAATGACTTCAGCGATCACTAAACAGCTTTTATTCTATATTTTGTGGGTATTGCGGAGCCTTATTAGAAATTCCAATATTTCGGTACCGAGTTACGAAAGTATTGGATGCTTTTTAAATCGGTACCAAGTATCGATCAATACCTAAAAGTACCGACTCAGCACAATACTAGTCACATGTTCAATATTTATTGTGATATTAGGTTCGTCATCCATATTGATGGCCTTCAAAATAGTGATGGATCGCGTGGGAATGCTACATGTTCATTATTTATCGCGTCAGTATTTACATGTTTTTGTGTTGAGAGGTTTAAAGTCCAATAGCCTGGAAATCTTGTCTAAATTTGATGTTATTTTATTGAAAATCGTCTATACTTTTTATTATATGTATGGTGATCCCACATCTAATTTGTTCGAAGTGCAACGCGAAATGCCGAGCCATGCGTTCAGTCCTTATTGACAGATCCTTGATCCATATATAAAGGAAATGAAAAAAGGAAGTTTGAACAGCAGTTTGTGCGGTGTATTTGGGCTCTTTAGCGCTTCGGTATATGCACTTAAGTCGATTTTTTATATTTTTTATTTTTTCTGAGGCTAAGATCCCGTTCAAAAGACAAGAGCTTAAAGCGCGTTTTTATGAGAAGTATATTTTTAACGCGCGCGTTGCAAAACATTTGTGTTGTTTTTTTGTTTTACAAATTTTTGTTATATTCTTCTTTATACACGTACGTATACACAGATTGAATAAAAATGTATTTATATACGTATGTAAATGTATCTATTATATGAGGCCTTGAGCGCCAGAGTAGCTTAACTGACATTCCAAAAAAAGTTGAGGTGCACCTTAAAATGCATTACCAGAATCGAAAAGGTAATAGCCCGAGGCACGGCCTTATAGTTTTCTTTTACTATACTTTTAGTAAAAGACTTCATTTCTTTTTTATATATCCTTCTTTCTCATATTACTAAAAATTTTTTTGTAGATAGGCTCATGGCCTCATATGCAAAATGTATTTGTTTAGTTTTATTTTAATACAACTTTTTATTGTGCCCATGTCTTATTTATGCCAAATAAACGAGGTTTGTTTTTAGTTCATTGTAAAATAAAACGTTGTTTGTTACTTGGTAACTTTTTTTTTGTAAAATCTGATCGGAAAATTTTTTGTCGTGTGGCAACCGTGGTAACGTATACAAAAAAATATTCCGCTGAATTAATAACCCTGCTCTTTCGGTATTTTTTTTCTAATATTTTTATTGGGCTTTGTACCACGATTGTTTATTAGGAAAAATTTAAAAAGCAACAAAGTCTAAGCGGTAGAAGTTATAGCAGCTATTTCGGAGATAACCACATCTCCTCATCAGACTTCCTTTTTCTAGACTTCAGCAGGGATCGAACCTGCGTAATCGATGTGCAAAGTCAGAAGCGTTAACCGCTGAGCTATGTACACCCCGAAAGCTCTTGTTGCTAAGGATATAATAAGGAAAACGATGAAAAAACATTTAAATTTTTGGGTGCAAATGTTAAAGTTTGATAAGCTTCCATATTTTTGAACTAAGTTTGAAATGTAGACTTACGTTCTCGACTTTTATAAAAAATATAAACATTAAATAAACAAAAGAAAAATAGCCAAAACTAGTCAAAATGTCACTTGAGTTAATCAGCTGACCACAAGGGTATACATATATGCCATTACGGTTATAATAATTTCCAGTCATTATTTCAATTGTCTAATAATTTGCACACTTTACGAAATGTCTTTAAGTGTATAATTTCATGGAATGGGTATTCATCTAAACGCTTAAAATGCTTCTTAGGTACGTAAGCCTTGTAATGAAACAAGTTTTCAAAATTAAGGACGTTTACGAGGTTTACGTCGTTACGAGGTATTTAAGCAATTAGATGAATACCACCTTTACACATATTAATTGAATAATTCTTCCACAAATTTATTGCGTACCTAAATAACTGTAATTTATAACGGTTATGAATTTCAGAACTTTAAGAGAATAAATTGAGATTTTCACAGAATTAACCCATACTTACATACATGTAATCCATTGCAATTTTTGCAGCTGTCTTCAAAGCGTTAGAAGCTTTAAATGCCGTTTAGAAATTGTCACCAGCTGTTTCGATTGAAATGTAATTTAATGGCTACTTAGAGCGGCATAATGTGTGATTAATGCCCGTAATTACGTATACGACACGTATTACAAATGTGTGTACATATGCACATATGTATGTACATATATTTCGCATACACATTCCAGTACACATATGTATTTACTTGCATCCTTCAACATTGAAATTGACACACAAAAAGACTTCACAGTTAATTTGATATTTGCCGAACGTAACAATCATTGGCGGTGTGATTTACCACTCCCAGCTATTTAAGTGGCATCGAATGACCAACGCGAAAGGAGTGCTTTAATAAACTCTAGCGTCAAAGGAAATGCAGAATTGCACGGAGTAAAAAGTGGACTATAAACAAGCGACAGAATAAGCAATCAAGAAACCAACTGCAAAGGAGAGTAGAAGTGAGGAACTGAGAGAGAGTGAGTGGAACGCAAACACTTTGTCAACTTCAATTGCAGTTGCTGCCACTTGGCGGTTCTTCGACTGCTGCTTGTAAGTGTGCGGATATATCTATTTTCGTTAAAATTGTAAGCTTCTCGTTAGCCGTTCTCTTTCTGAAAACGCACTGTTGTCAAGTATGCCCACTCCCATTGAGGACAATCCTCTTCTCTCCATAAATGTGAAGTTGTGGAAATTCCTGTCCGTCCTCTTAGTACGCGATTGGCGTCGTTGTGTCGCTTTTGTGGCACCAGTGTGCCTGATGAACGCAATGCAATTCGTCTACTTGTATCAACAATGGGGCGATTTGGCCACTTTCATTCTGAATACCTTCTTTGCGGTGTCCATATTCAATGCCTTGCTGCGAACGTGCCTTGTCATCAGGAATCGAGATAAATTTGAGGCACTTATGCAGGAATTGGTAACACTATACGACAATATACAAGTAAGTATGAATTCAAGCGGAGTTATTGAAATGGGCGTTAATTGATTATAACAATGTTGACTTAAAGAGAAAGAAAGAGAAAACAATAATTTGTAATTTATTTAAAACGCTTGTTTAGGCCACTGGGGATGAGCATGCAAAGAGCGTGCTAGCAGAAGCCACCAGGTCAGCAAGAAATATATCAATCTTCAATTTGGCTGCTTCGTTTTCCGACTTAATAGTGGCTATGGGATATCCACTTTTTCGTGACCAAAGAAGTAAGTTGGATATGGCTTGTAAATCCATAGTGGATATTTTCTGGTAAAACTTTAAGTTGTTGGAATGCAAAGTTATAGAATTTATTGCTCCGCACATGGTCTATGTAAGATTTACCTTAATCGGAGATACATATATCTACGGACTTCCACCTAAGATTGATGCTGGAAAATACTTCATACTCCTTTTACGTAATTTACAGTTAGCAAAGAAGTGGGGATAATGTCTCTATCTTGGTACTGCAACCAGAAGTCTGGCAAACCAAAATCGTATCGTAAGCTGGCAAGGAAAAGGAATAATTTGCTAGAAAAGTCTTAGGGAAGAGACAGTTGGGAAGATCATATCAGGTAAAACATTTTGAAAGAAACCCCTTGGCAACAAGCACACATAGCAGAAAAGTTCACAAATATGGCTCTATATTAACTGACAAACGAAATCCAAAGTGCCCTTGAGTTTGGGGAAAAACGGCCTTCCTCGACTTATGCAACAGGGCAACCAGAATCATTTGCTCTTCTGTGAGATTGATCCAGGCTGGAACTTAGTCCCAGAATCAAAGTGTGTTGAAATATTATAAAGCATTTCAGGTGGAAGCCCACACCATCAGTCTATAGCAGAGCTAAATTTTTGGAGGAATTTCCAGTGATATGATCGTAGTCCTTAGGGTTATGCAGACAACACTTAAGGCTCTCTTCTCATGTGAAACCAAATCATGCTTAGTGCCTGAGAGAGATTCCAAAATCTACTCAACCTCCCAAAATAGAAGCTTATAATACTAACAGAGCTAACAGAAGTCTAGGCTTAGTATTCTTCGTGCCACCTTAGGGTTTACTTTATTTCCAGAGTGAGTGATATGCCATCCTGCGAAGGGCGTCGGAACTAACGATACTGACTTTCTACATAAAGGTTACCATAATGGACTTTGTGACTTGGTTTCTGTCTGCTTTTATTCAACCAAGCTTCCACAATACCAAAGCTATTTTGCGTATACTCGGCTAGAGGCTTTAAAGATTTTTATTTCGTATAGAGCCAGATAGTTGGCGTACAGTACAGAATTATTTGGTACAGTCAATCCAACTTGTTGTTGGGAATTGAACATTAGCTTCTGGAAGAACGTTTATAAAATAAAGGAGCTTTTCTTTCAAGTTCTTCGAAAGCTTCAATGTTTGCGATGATTTTGGCCATGTCAAAATAATGATAACAAATAGCGGTTATTAAAGGAGATACAAAGTAGGATAGCCAGTTGTAATAAGTATTGGATTAGCAAATCTTTTAAAAGCTTTTGCTCATAAAACTGATTACATAAGTAATAAGTAATGCGTGTCAGGTATTAGCTGGTATATGTTAATAAATTTGTCTTCCTTCTAGTTCATCCTTTTGGAGTTGCATTGCCCGGCATAGACGTCACATGCTCTCCACTTTATGAAATCCTCTATGTTGCCCAGCTTCCCTCCCCTTTCACTTTGAGCTCAATGTATATGCCTTATGTAAGTCTTTTCGCATCTTTTGCAATGTTTGGCAAAGCAGCGCTGCAGATTTTGCAAAATAATCTCAGAAATTTATGCGAAAATATGCAACACAAAAGTGAGCCGGAATTGTTCGATACGCTGCGTGCGAATATAGCCTACCACGCCAGAATTGCTAAGTGAGTAAAAGAAGAGCACTGTGCTTTTAGGAGTCGGGCGACTAATATATGTATGTACTTGCTTTGTTTAATTAAAGATATGTCAATGATTTTAATGAATTAGTTACTTATATGGTACTCGTGGAATTTCTACTCTTCAGCTGCGTTATTTGCTCACTACTTTTCTGCATAAATATTGTAAGTAAAACCAAAATTCCGATCCATAACTTCGATAAAGTGGTGAAGCACTTTAGATGTTCTTAAATTGAGCATTTTCTTTCTTTTGTTTTTTAGACTAATTCAGCGGCAGAAAAAATGTCTATTGTTATGTATATTGGCACAATGTTGTATGTGCTCTTTACCTATTACTGGCAAGCTAATGGTATTTTGGAAATGGTAGGTTGTGATTCATTTATTGAGAAATATTTGCAATTGGTTACGGTTTTTAAAATTAGTAGAAAGCTATCATATATTTAGTTATTAGCCTGACAATATCACTTTTCTTCCTTTTTTGTTTTTAGAGCCTCCTTGTCTCAGACGCAGCTTACGAAATGCAATGGTACAATTGTAGCCAGCGATTCAAGCGAACTTTACTCATATTCATAGCACGCACTCAAAGACCACTACAGGTAAGAATTATTAAGAAAACTATATGTACATAACAGGTCATGCGAAAAATAAAAAAATAATAGGGATAATATTTTTCATTTTGGTTTTTAATGTTTATATTTTTTTATAATCTAACATTTAAGTCAAAATTTAAAGCTTTGTAAAAAAATTATAAAAATTCAACAAATTTTCAAAACAACAACAAGGTTTTTACTAAACATTTTTATAGCTTTCTAGTGGCTAAGAATTCGCGTTGATGTTTGATAATTTTTACTGGTTTTATTACTTTCTTCCATACCAAAAGAAATGTTCAACATACTTTGTATGGAAGAAAAAGCCTGATACCGGCAGCACAAAAAAATATATATATAAAAATTCAACGCGAATCCTTAGCCCCTTGAACCGTACACGCTAGATTTTGATGGGCTATAAACCTGCATATTCGGAATTTTTCTAATTTTTCTACAAAGTTTGAAATTTGGACTTACATGGTTTTTGTTAGATAATAAGCTGTATTTTTATAAAAAAAAAAATAAAAATCATATACATTAAAGAAACAAAAGAAAAATAGTAAACACTGTTCAAAACGTCACACAGTGGGACGTCGCAGTACTTAGAGCGGCCAGAAATAGAAGGAATGTAGCTAGAGCAAAAAAAAGTTTTGCACACGTAATTTTTAAGACAATCGGTCCATTCTTTTGCAGCCGAGCTACAAAAGAACACTCGTTTAAACGACGAAATACACACAAAAATACGCGACCTGAAGAGTAGTGTTGTTAAGTGAAAAAACTGCTCTATTGTGAACTGTTACTGGGAAATTGGAGAGGAAAATTTTTGTTTTCGTATATACATGATTTATATTTAAAATAAGTATATATATTACGCAAATACCTCGCATAATAACTAATTTCTATTGTTTTTAGTGTCTAAATCCCGTTAAACTCATCACATGTTACTTGCCAGCTACCAGCAGGGTTGCTTAAGTAGCTAAAAGGAAATTTTACCCGAGTTGAGCGTTATTTTGTCGCTCGCTCACAAAAAAATACAGCTAATATTACACTTTAGACCAAAAATGGTCAAAATCACACGCCCACCTACCATACAAAAATGCGAAAATAATATAATTCCACAATGCATGAAGATATTTCGACTAAATTGTGTACAAATTTTTAAAAGACTTATGTACATGCGATGATATTCAAAAAATCAACCAAATTGGACTTGTGTACTCCAATTTTCATTTAAAATTATATTTGCATTCAAATGCATTTTCTCAAGGATTTTGTTTATATTTTCTTTTAAAACGTGATTGTGTTGGTTATTGGCCGTTTAATATATGTAATTGAATAAGTTATTTTTCAGACTGAAGGCGAAATATCCACCAAAATAAAATTAAAATGTAAATAAAGCAGAAAAACATTTAATGTTTTCTTTAACATACGGCCTATAGCTCAAAAATAAATTATTAAATTTTCTTTTAAAATAAAGTAAGTTAGAAGAAAACTCGGATGCATTTAAAATGTTTTAACATACCGTTATTTCATTAATTGCATCGAAATCTCATGAAACATAAACAAAATTAAATCTGCATCGCTCAAATCACTAGCCAATTTCTTCTTCTACCTGTGCAAGAAACTCCTTTATGTCTACCGAAGAACGATTCTTAAAAATTCGTCGTTTGCTTGTTAATAGTGAATCTGACAATAGCAGCATTTTTCGGATGTTGCCCTTCCCCGGTGCAAAATGTGTTTGATGCAGTGTTTTTTAACGCTTCGTTGTGTGAAATGGCCTGACCAAGCCACCTATAAAAGAACGCTATTTAGACGTGTTCAGGGTTGAGGATAATGAGGAACTTGCGTCTATAAGCATTTTTAATGTACATAGTATAAATCAAAAATTGGTATATAGATAATTATAAGAGAACAGATAAAAAGTAATTTATTCGTTTTCAAAAAAAATTTCAAAATTTTGTTTTTTTAATTTTTTTGCTAATTACTGTGAAAAATTCATAAATAAAACTTAAAATATAAAACTATTTATGTAGGTAATGGTCCTGCAGCTAGACAGAGATTGCAAGTGTAGGTTTTGGTTTCCACACCGTGGATGTTTTGTCAGTGGAACGCATTGCTCACTTTCTCCATACAAAAAATAATTGTCGAACATACTTTGTAAGGAGAATCTGGCCAAAAATCAAGGCGAAAATTGAATGGGCATTCTTAAAATTTTTCTAAAAAATCTGAATAGAAAGTTGCAAATTAGTGGCAACAGTAGTGGCAGTGCATAGGCCATTAATACAGCATATGAAGTTTTTTTTGTAAACCCGATTTTACTCCTTATCCGTTCGCCGGCAATGGTTGTAGAATTCACAGACTCTTTATTTCGTCGTCGGTTATGGTACATTGACGCCGATTCTAAAATACTTAACGAAGAAAAACGAAATGGCCTGCGTCGGCCAAATAACACAATGAAGGGTTAAACTCGCAAATATGAACTTTTATCAAAAATTCTTTTTGAGGGTTAGTAGGATATTTGCAATGAATCTGCACAATTTCTTTTTCAGAATTAGCGAGTCAGTTTTTTCTTACTTTTGGCCGCTGTAGTGCCATTGTGCGTCGTATCCCTATTATTTTTCACATGACCAGACATGCATACATAAATACATTTTTTTGTGAATGTTTCATGTCAGACTTTTCATTAAAAAAAAAATCCCAAATATCATGGGTTGATTTATTTATTACAGATCCGCGTTGGCCAAATGTCCCCAATGACAATGGAGGTGTTTCAATCGTTGCTAAACACATCATATTCTTATTTTACACTTTTGTATAATCTGTACAACGATTAATGCAATATTTTGGAACATTATAAATTAAATTAACTGTAGTGAAAAATTAGCTGCTTAAAATTGCTGAAATAGAAACTTATCTTAAAAAGAATATGCAGTAATAAAAGCTGAATTCGTAATGTATTATTATTGGTCGCATCATCTACCATTGCACTCGCCGTTAGTATTCCCATTACCACTTCCAATAGGGGTTGTGCGTGTGCTCATAGGCTAAATACAGTGTTTTGCTTAGCTATCCATCCTTCATTGCATGAAAAACTTGTGCGTTTAACCGAAAAAGCACTTAAGGGCCATTCCATTGTGACTGGTGGGACATTTTACTCCAGCATGTGATCAATTGTGAGTTTTAACTATGTCGTCGAAACTTATGCAACAGCGAAAGATATGTTTTAATATAGAACAATAACTAATGTATACAATTACTTACATATTTATGGATGTATTTCCCTGTATTTATTTACCATTCTTCTACTCTTCCTATAAATAGAAAAAAATACATACCGTAGTAAGTTCGCTGGGACTAAAATTCCAAGGCCCAACTTCGTTGAAATTTCAACGGGAACCCGGCTCTTTTTTAATGATTAAGAAAGCATTTTTAATATCGAAAGATACGAGTAAACTCGGAATTTCTGAGTGTTCACCAAAAGAATAAGTAATAAAAATTCATGGCCAGTCAAAAATTGTAGGAGCATAATGGGTAAGTTGAATTCAAGTCTGAGTCACACTAAGGTCGATGTTAAAACATCGTCGAAACTGGCATCGATGTATCGTCAATTTAGCGATTTTAGGCAATTGTAAACATCGATGGCAAATATCGAATTTCAAACCGATATTATCGATGTTTCAAAAATATCGATGCATCGTTTGCATCCCTAGTCACACTTTTGATTGGGTTAAATTTTTTTTATGGATTCTATACATGAAATAAGCTAACACGTGTTCGCGGATTTTTTTTTTTCTTGGGAGATATGATCTGGCAAAGTTTGCATTTTTTTGTGATTCTGACTAATCATGTACTACTTCAAATCGTCATATCTCGGGTTCTGCGCATCGTAGAGACTTCACCTTAACGTCGTTTTAAAGCTAAAGAAACGGGCTTAACATTTTTTTTATATAAGGTGGTCATTGGAGCCAATCGAAGACATGACATAATTTTTTTTTGCAAAATCCGTCCGACTTAAAAAAGAATGGCTCAAAAGCGGAAATGGATTTATGAATTTAAGCACTTCCTTATGCCACTACAGCAAAATTCTAAGAAACCTATTTTCGCAATTTGGCAAACTCCAAATTGATTTTTTATTGTCATTTTCAAATTGTATTTTAAAAATAATAAAAAATCTTATTTATTTATAATGGTATTTCAGTATTTAGGTTTTTCCATATTAAATTATTTTACAATTTGTAATTATATTTGAATTGAAATACATGATGAATTTACTTTACTCTAACCACCTCTAAGCGGACTGGAAACTGCGAACTCAGAACCAAATTTTACAATTTGAAATTTAAAGTTAATATTTCAATTGAAATAACTGACTTACCTCACTCTAACCACCTGCAAGCGGATTCGAACCTGCGATCTGAGAACCAGAAGCGGTAGTCTTCACGCGACGCCACTGCCGACATTTGTCAGGAAAGCAATTAACTGAGTTTTAGTTTTGGCTTTGGCAACTCAAAGGCAGAAGTCGCTTTATATATGTACATACTTACATATGTATACATATGATTTTGCCAAATGTATAAGTTTCTTAGAGAATAGAATAAGAAATTTCTGATTTCCTCTAAGAAAGCATTTTCTTATTTATATTCAAATTTCTGTGGAAATCGTGGCTGATGTTTGTAGGCGCCTGCCACACGTTCTCAGAGAATAGAATAAGAAATTTCTGACTTCATTCAAGAAAGTACTTCCTCCTTTTTGTTTTTGTTTTCAAAATTTAAGTGAATTAACAAATTGTTTTCTTAGCATGAGTAAAGTTATTTTCTTAAATTTAATAAATATATAATATTTTTTCTACCGGTTTCTTCAATAGGTTTTGTTGTTGTTTGTAAACAAGAAACCCGTTTTCGTATTTTCAGTAATATATTTTTTTTTAATCTAGTGAAGACTAAGGCCCTCGGCACATTACGCGCCTAATCAAAGTAGAGTAATCGTTTCATCATACCGAAACGAATGCATGACGACTCGACTTCTGCACACTTGTACGCTCTGCACCAGCTAATAAACACATTCTACACATAACAAATTTTCTGGCCGTTCTTTCCCAACACGCACTTCCGCAAATATTTCTGTCCCGAAATATTGCATACATGCATGTGGTTTAATACAATTTGCACGAATTTTAGCACGAAATCATTAATTTTCAATTATTTTCTATTGAATTGACAAACAAATTTTATTTCCAATACAAAAAAGTAAACAAATGACGATTTCAAAACTCCAAGCGCCTTACAATGTTGGGCGCTTCAATTCATGAAGCCTTTCCGATTAAGCGAAAACATGATTTTGAATCGTAATGTACAGAGTTTCATTGAAATACATGGGTTCGGCATAAAAGCTTTATACTTTAGTATGCCGAACCGATTACACTACTATGATTAGGAGCTTAATGTGCGGAGTGCCTAAACCAAATTTGAATATTTCATGAATTATTTACTATTTCGCAACCAAGAAAACATTTATTCAACTTTAAGTAAAAAAAAAACTTCTCTTCGTGTGCATAGGCCCGGACGTAGATATTAGAGCGGTGGGGAAAGCCCCTATGAACTCCGCATGTAACGCATTGACCCCCTCCTCCGAAACGAAACCAATTTACCGCACCCAAGAGGTTTGAGATCATGTTGAAAATGTTAAGCTCACAAAACAAGATACGAATGTATACTCGAAAATTTAATTTCCCTTTGCTTTGCATTTGCAAGATCAAACCAATACTACTTCAACTGTCACACTTTTCCACAAGACCAGGCATCTTTCGCGGAGGTGGGGGCCATATAGAGTCGTATGGAAAATACGCAAATGCTACAAGAAAGCTTTTTTAACACATCCTTGGCCATGAATCTCAAACTTGGAGCAAAAAAATCCTATTAGCAGAATAGCACTAGTCTGCTAACTGTAAAGTGGGAGGACACTATAAGACTAGCCTGCGGTCTGAGCAAATTTAATGAGGAGTAGCCGCCTTAGAATATTTGGGATACCGTCAGCAGATAACTGCTTCCCGACTCATGTCCCTTATAAGCGGAAAAGGAAGAGGCAAAGGCACTCCCCCCTCCAGGATGAGCCCTTTTTTAGGGTGGTCGGTTTTAGAAGGTGTTCTTCCCATCATCCCCGCACCAGTGAATTTTAGTTGCCTTTTTCGACAAGCATGCCGCCTACTCCGCTAGGCATGAACCTTACCAACGAACACCAATGAGAATCGAGTCAAAATTTTACATCTAGGGCCAGGGAAGCGGAAGTGGTCATCTGAGTTAAGTTCCTCTACACTAATACCGATCTAAATTCTCGTATAGCAGATCTTAGTTAAGAAATCACTTATTCGGCTCTGGAATAGCATTTATGGCTATGGGTTTCCATTAAGTGCCGTCGAAAAAATTTCAATTGGGGAATTCTAGCTAGACGTTAGTTGGAAAAAGGTGTGGCGTAGAGAATTTCCAGCTGTTGTGCATGTGTATTTACTACAAACTACATTCTTTTATTTATATCTTCTTTTCGAACTTCCGTGGTCAGCATAAATACCGCGTACGAGTGATATTCAAAGCAACAAAGTAGCAGCAATAGAAACAGCTTCCTATTGGCCACTAGCGACTGGTTTTTCTTGTCTATTCGCATAATTTTTATGGCTGCTTCGTAATTGGTAGGTGCCAAGTTTATCGCCGATTTAATTGGAGATAATTATAGGATAAATGTTGAAGGCAACTTTAACTAAAAATTGTAAATATGTACATTGTGATACATAGACAGTAACAATTGGAATCTTGCAGAATATATATGTATATACATATGCATATATAAACGCATTGAGCTTGCTCAATTTGGCGAATCTATACATATAATAAAATTGTAACAGCCCGATGTCTGTACATTATAGATATTAAAGAAAAATTAAGTTATTATCTTATTTTTTATTATTATATTATAAGGACCCCTCCTTATTAAAGCAACAGAATCCAAATCAAAAATTTTTAGATTTTTGGTCTGTCTGTCTGTCGTATTGCTAGAGGTCTAACCGAAAATAAAGAATCCATTTTTTTTTTTCAGTTTATCATCGATCTTTACTCCAAGGTATTTGAATGTATTAACTTTTTCCAGTGCTTCGTGGTTAATATTTACTGTTCTCAGAAATTCGCCTTAATATAACCACAAACTTAGTTTTATTGACATTCAATTTAAGTGTGTTCAATTATAACCAATCGCACTTTTTTGGAACTTCTGTGTGGAAGGTTTTTCGCTAAAAAAAATCTAAACTTTTTGTTGTTGCTGCCAAAAAAATTAAGAAATCTAACTGCCATACCTAAACAAAAGCGTTGACGCCTAGCGTCAGCGCCGAAGTGCCATGCCTAAACAAAAGCGTCACCGCTACGTCAAATGCAGAAATAACACCAACAATAAGCATAGGTTTGTTTGTGTGTAACACGAAAATTACAGTTTCGACCTTTTCTGCAGCCAACTCAAAATCGGATTTTCCAACCGCTCAGCGTTGACGCGGCGTTACTTCGGTATGTTTCATACAAATTGTATGGGCATGAGAATTTTTTGACAGCCAGACAACGCTGACGCTTTTGTTTAGGTATGGCAGTAAGACGTCACGGTTTTACAATTTCATATAGTTCTCTGTACATCGTATTTCACTAAACTACTAAACGGCTGCACCGATTTGGATCATATTTGGAACATAAGCCAGCACCTTGAAAATAAACATTCCGACCAAAAATTTACACGGTAGATGGCGCTGGGGTCAGGATATTCCTAAAATTCTTATACAGACTTCCCCTTATGGCGAAAACTGGTAGGCTTTTGAAAAGGGGGCGTGGCATCACTTATACAAACTGAACTTCTCATATACAGTGACGAGCAAAACTGTAACATGATGTAACACTTTTTATTTCAGCTGTCGCTATCTTTCCAAGTTCTAACGACATTCATACTGTTGTTGTATATTTTTATTGGTACATCTGTGCTTCCTCTGTCATAACGATTTGAAGCCAATTCAACAACATTAACAAAACCAGCAGACA